ATATATATATATATATATATGTAGATGCTGCACTGCCAGCGTACAGCCCTTGAAAGAACCTCAAAATATCCAAGAATATTGTTGTCCTTTTTATCTTAGGCCCATCTTCGCTGACCCACAGGCGTCGCTGCCAGCCTCACAGCCACCTCCAATCCCTGAGTTGCCGGCAAGCCCCCTTAGACTGATGGCCTGATCTCCCGTCTGTAGAGACTTGAGTTATTTCTAATAAGGTAGCTTTTGCACTATTTCAGCTAGATAGACCTCTACAGGTCCGACTAGAGTACAACTGTAATGCCTGCGCACTACAAGAGCGGCCTCCTCCTCGCGCTCGCCATGTACCATTGTCGGCTACGAGGAAACCAAAGATCTGGTAGCTATCTCGGATGCAGTCTGTACTAATGGCACATTGGATAGCCCAATATCTGCGGTCGGCTATCCCATGCTCCTTTGTAAGCACCTTTTTGTTTTCTTGTGCAGTATAACCTACTGATCCATAGGCCAGGACCCGCACTGTCACTGATGTCCCTGTTCTTCATAGTGTGCCTTGAGACTTTGGTACCCTTCTTCATTAAGAATGCTGGCTGCGCTCAATGAGTTCGTTTCGTAGTCTTCGAAGAGTATAGCCCCATCTGGAATTGCCAGCGTCGGTCGTCAGGATGTTGTCTGGCCTCAGTAAGGTCTGCACGTTTTCTGGGAAACTATCAATGCTGAGCGTCCTCCCCCTATTAACTACGCTGCTCTTGATATATTTTGTGTTCCTCTCCAGCGCCTTGTGCCAAGTGTGTATCCTGCTGCCTAAGTCGTGTGGGCAATGATCAAGAATATGAACGAGGGTTTTAGGGTCAACCGTGCAGTGGTGGCAGCATGATACCTCCGAGACGTGATCTTCTTGAGGTATGCTCTTGTGGGAAGCTGAGAAGCTTGTACTCTTAATACGACCTTCACCTCCTCTGGCTTCAGGTGCGTCGCTCCCCACAAGAAGGGATTGCTATCAACTGTCCGGCAGGCAACGGATTTTTCTTGATATACAATTTCCTTCCACACATCTCGCTGCCGTCCTTCCATATGCTTTTGACACTTCTGATGAGATTCTTCTTTTCTAAGTTGGAGCCATCTAAGTCCCGGAAAACATGTTTTCCATCACTCCCAGTCTCGATTCTCGTCTTGCTCACCGATATGCTTTCTCGGATCTCTCACCGCAAGCTTCTTATATCCATTTTCTTGCCTCTCCTCTGAAGACATCCAATATCGCGTCTGTTAAGTTAGGCAAGGATAGTTTCTCGGTCGCTCGTATAATTCTCAGGTGTGTGTACGAACGCCCGTTTGATGACCTCGAGCGCTTGGCTTTCTGTAGCTGCTCGGATCATGATGTCCGGGCGTATAAGCATCTGTATAGCATGCTCAACCTGCGTTGCTGCCGCGATCGTCTACATGGATGCACAACCCATCCCTCCACTTGAAATGGGTTGGTGGAGCACGCGGTGGCAGTTCCCTTCCCGAGCTTGAACTTTGCCTTCAGAACGGCACATCGATGACGATCGAGTGCTGCTTGTAGGGGTAGCAATGCCTGAGGTGGTAGCCCAGCCGAGCCGTCATAAAATTGCGCATCACAGCCAATTTCTGCCAGCGGAGGACTTCTGAGCTGAAGAAGGTTAAAGATGTCCTACTTCCCCTTGGTATGACGCGAAGGATTTGTCCCTGGTGCACTGCAAGCTCTAGTACATCCTTTAACCCCTCGTGCTTGTATGACTCTCTCAGCTTTACCACGGGCAAGACTTCGTTATGCAACTTGAGTTGGACCGCATCAGACCGCTGCTTGGCCTTCTCCACCTTCCATCCCAACGTAGCGCATTGGGACGGGTGTGTAGTGCGCAAGCTCTACCGTGGGACTCTATTTGGATATCTGGCGGTCCATCCGGCTGAAACAGTGCAAATAATGTGTTATTAGATACGCATCGAGCCGCTCTAGACAAGGAATAGAGCCATCAGGCTACGAGTGCTCGGCCGCAACCGAGGGTCTGGGGCTTGCCGCGATGCTGGTCTTCGCGCCGAGGCGCTGACCATTCACTAGGTGGTCAATTGGCAGAAGAAGGAGTACTGCTCTTCATTTTGGAAAGACTGGGCTGATATATGAATTAGAGACTAGTTTTGGATATATTTTAAAATTTTTTCATGGGTTGAGCGTTGAGTATAACGTTCATACGATATGCGTGGAGATAGTAGGTGTGCTTAGGATTGAAAAGTAGTTGGAGGAGAGGGCTTTGCCCACTAAATGTTTTTATCTTATCTATCTAAGGAAGCCTCTACCACTTGATGAAGGTTGGTGATACCCCTACGAGCGCTGGCAACAGTTTTCAAGTCATCTGCGCACCCCGTACGTAGTTCTACGCCTTCACTGTACGCAGCCAGCCTCTGCAACAACGGCTCGGTGGCAAGGTTGAAGAGGATAGAGCTAAGAGGGTAGTGCTGTTTGATTCCCCTCCGATCTTCTCTACTTCCGGCGTAGCCTCCTTCTTTGTGAACTCGCTCCGACAAAGATGTTAGTGATGAACTCGAAAGCACGCTTCGGAAGCCGTTGAACCTTCAAGATAAAGTTAATCAGCTCATGACAGAAAGGCTCAAACGCGTTGTTTCAGTCGTAGTACGCCAGGTACAGCGGCGTCTTCGCCCTACGAGTAGCGTTGCGAATACTTTCGGAAAGAAGGAAATTCTCATGGCATCCATTTTCAGGCATGGAACCGTTCTGCGACTTGGAGGTGACTCCCGAATCAACACGGTCACGCCCCCCTTCCACTGCGCTGGCACTCTCCCCTGGTGGGAGCACGTATTTTAAATCGCTGTCATAGCTGTAACAAGGACCTCTTCGAACCACTTGTATACAGGGAAACCTATCTCATCTGGCCCTGCTGCAGACCTACGGCTGCTCTTTTGCAGCTGAGCACCCGAAATTCTCGTTGCTGCAGCGTTCAATCCTGTGTACCCTTTCTGGGACGGCAGACGAAGGTTCTAGGAACTTGCGAGCTGCCTGAGAAGTGAGATCAATAGATTGCGCCGGATGGTGTTCTCTGAAATGTGCCTCCATCGCACTGAGTTGGAATGGGCAGTCTTGCCTTCTAGATTGATCTTCGTCAGCTAGTAGTTGTTCCACACACTTCTTTCGGTCTCTTGTATTGCATCCTTGAATGTTTTGTGCTGATTCTGCCTTCACAATATTGATGAAGCGGAAACGCGTATTCCGTAGTTCTCGTTCGATTGCCCGTTCCTGCATTCTGTTGTCTAGTGAGTCCTCATCACGTTGTTCCTGCTGTGGTTATTCAGTGCGCCTATTCTAAGCAACACCTTCTTGACGTCGTCTTTTTCCTGAGCTAATCGTGGGGAGACGCGCGCCTTTGGGCGTTCTTGGTGTTTGTCTGCTGTTTGATGATGTTTTCTTCCTTGGCCCTCGTTGAATTGCTTTAGCTGTTGTCGTGTAGGCAAACCAAACAGCGTCATATATGTGCGCGGTGGAGCTGTCTATTGTGGCCTCCGCTTCCTGTGACAACCCTCTCGTTATCAGTGATCATAATACGCCGAGCTTTTGCACCATTCATTTTGCCCAGCAAACATATTTAAAGTCAAACGGCGCCTTTTTGCCCGTCCATTCATACTGCGTGTGCACGAGGCTGTTTAGTACCCCACATGCTCAAGGCGGTCGAGGCCTGGGACGCTTTAGATGGGGAATAAGTATGTGTATGTGTACAGCAGTCGTGCGAGTTGCTTGTGTTATGGAATACGCCGAAGAGCCTGTGCCCCATTCACTAGGCCCAGCAAACATAATTATATCCTAGTGCATGCATATGGGGCTGTCGCTACAGCAACCATGCCCCCCAAAATTCAATGACG